CTCATTCATTGCTTTCACCCACTTCGAATCTTTCAATGCCTCAACTGCATTGGTTGGTTTGACATCTGCGTAGAAAGCATAATGTACCTACTCACATTCTTCATCAAACACATCATCTGATGTAATCACATATTCTTGCAACCATGCAGGCATGTGTCTTGTTCCTTGAGGGCTGTTTGGGCCTGCTTCACCTCTGACTTCTTCTTGTCAAACTTCTATTTCGACTTCACTGGCTGGTTCTTCACATAAGATTCTCACTGAGTCCTTCTTGACATTCTCAGTCCAATCTCATTCTTTAAGCTCATCTATGATCACGTTCCTGTTTATCACAACTTTCTTGTTCATTGGGTCGAACGACTTCTATCCTTCAGTCGAATGATATCCTATTAGGATCATTTGACTCGACTCATCATCAAGATTTCTTCTCAACTGATTTGGCACATGTTTATGTGTTATAGATCCAAACACTTTCAAATGACTTAGGCTAGGCTAGACACCAGACCAACATTCTTTTGGTGTGATTCCTTCTAGCTTCTTCGTCGAACATCTATTCAAGATGTATGTTGTTGTCGACACAGCTTCTCCGTATAATTCTTTGGGTAGATGCTTGCCTTTCAACATACTTATCACCATGTTCATGATAGTTCTATTCTTCCTTTCTGCAGTTCCATTTTTTTGTGAAGTGTAGGGTGGCACCACCTCATGCACAATCCCTTCTTTTTCACATAATGCATCGAAATATTTTGACACATACTCTCCACCACCATCAGTCCTCTGAATATTTAGCTTTCGACCACTTTGTCTTTCGATCATAGATTTGAATTTGGAAAATACCTCGATCACTTCACTTTTCTTCTTGATCAGGTAAGTCCACAACTTTCGACTGAAATCATCTATGAACGTGACAAAGTATTTGTTACCTCCAATAGAATCCACTTGGATAGGACCATATACATCAGAGTATATGACTTCGAGAATTGCCTTCAACTTGTTTCCTACATTATTGCTTAAACTATTCTTGTGATGTTTCGCCTGAACACATTCTTCGCACACTTCATTTGGAATGTCGATTTTTGGTAATCCTGAAACCATATTTCTTCTCTTCAAATATCTGATGTCTTTGAAGTTGAGATGGCCAAGTCGATAATGCCATATCCATTCATCTTTGTTGGCTACAGTTGCAAGACACTTATGCTCCATCACATTAAGTTCAATCTTAAAGTTTCTATTCTGAGACATAGGAGCCTTCAAGATTAACCTTCCTCCTGAGATTGAGAACTCTCATCATCTTGTCTTCGATTGAAACTTTGTAGTTCTTCTCGACCAATTGTCCTATGCTGAGAAAATTACTCTTCATGCCTGATATGTACAATACATTGGAAATTACTGACATCTTGACATCTTTCCTCATAATCAGAACATCATTAATACCTTCAGCTGCTAAAGTATTGTCATTTGCAAATCTCACCGTATTCTTCATTGAGGGCTTCATGTTGACAAACCAATATTTCCTTCCAGTCATGTGTGATGAGCATCCTGAATCCAAGTACCACTAATCCTAGAATCTTTCTTCATCTCTTGTTGTGACCATCAGCCACATCTTTTCTTCTTCATGTTTCGCCAACTTCGCATCAGTTTCTTGATTCTTCTTCTTTTCTTGACACTCACTAAAATAGTGACCATACTTCTGACAATTGTAACACTAAATGTGACTTTTGTCAGGCTTTCGACTGTCACCTCTTCCTCTACCTACAACACCACCTCTTTTGTTGCCTTGGTTACAGGGTTTTCTTTGATTCGATCAGTTTTCTTCCTGGTGATTTTGATCAGTCGAATTGTTATAGCCTCATCTACCTTTGTTGTCATTCCATCTTCCTTTGCTTTTCTTTTCCTTTTCTGACTGCACTTGCAAAGCCATATCACTCTTTGACTTTTTTGCAGCTCTTTCATTCATCCTTTGTTCATGAGACTCAAACATCCCTTAAAGCTCTTCCTTCGTCAATACTGACAAGTCTTTCGACTCTTCTATGGCTACTACCACGTGGTCAAACTTTGAAACCAATGACCTCAAGATATTTGCAACAAATGATCTTGATGTCAACACTTCTTCACATATCTTGATTTGATTCACCAGTTTAGTAACCCTAGTGAAGAATTTTGTTATAATTTTACTTTCTTCCATCTGAAGCAATTCGTAGGCTTCTTTTGATGATTCTACATCACTAACCTTTTCAAAATTATCTAGATCAACACATTGATGGATTATAAAGAGAGCTTTATAATATTTCTTCTTCAACTCTTTGTGTGCATCTTTTTCTTGATCCATCGCGTTTTCTGCAAGCGGTGTTACTTCTTCCTACACAAGATCCCAAAGATCTTGATAACAGAACACCGCCTTAATCTGCTTGCACCAATTCTCATTATTATCTTTCTTGAGAATTAGAAGATTCACCGGAAAATGCATGTTTGGATGATTCATCGCCATCACGATTTTGCTTCCTTGAATCGCAATCGGAGCTCTAGATACCAGATGTTGGAATTCAACCACAACCTATGGAGAATTTCGATCAATTTTGATGGAGAAGATTGTTACCAATCACGTAATGACAATGAAAAAGGTTAAGAAAGAAAGAAAGAAAATAACATTGGAGAAGAAGAAGAATGAAGATTCTGCAGAGCTTCTCTCTGTTTCTAAACTGGAATTTCTTATTCACTTGCAACTGCAAATTCTGTGAATACAACGTATAAGTTGTTTACAGAATAAGAATTACTTTCTATTTATACATTTAGGTTAGCTTGCACCCCAAGTCAAAGCGCAAAACTATAAAAGTCCAAAATAGTTAACATTACTAAAATAGGCCTGAGTCGAAATCCTGTGTGAAGCAACCTGCTTCAACACTTCGACACACTAAGCAACTCCTCACACACGCGCGCATTAGGTTAATTCAATTAGTCCTTATTTCTGTGAGTTATACTGCTTCAACACAAAGAATTACAAACTCACACAGAGATTCGTTGAATGTACTTGCAAATGAGATTTCTGTTATCGTCGTGTGAAGAACTCTGGTGTGTCAGGAAGATTTTGAAAGGAATGTTATTCCTTGTAGTAATCGGTCGAGGTCGATATGATCGGCCCGAAAAATAAGCAAAATTAATTCTACTTTTAAAAAAATAAACATAACAAATTCAATTCAAAATCAATTTTACACCTCTAAAAAAATTTTTTGGAAATCAAGTGGACTTTAGTAATGCTCCACTAAAAGTAACAAATTTTGATCTTCTCCCTACCTCATTCTATTTTACTCATTTAAAAAGAAGATATTTAAATTTTTAAATCATACATCAGTATGTTAGATTCCCACCGATAAACTTTATCAAAATTATAGAATTATGTAAATCATGTGTTTTAAGTTAGATCATAGTGTTCAATAAATTCATTGAAACTTAATGAATAAACACTAATGAATAAGTACTAATCTAAAAAGTTGTTTAGCTTTAAAAATACTTAAAAATCAATATATGATATTTATACACATAATAAATTATAACATTTCTCTTCGAACTGCGCATACATTTGATATGCATCAAGTCTATTATAAATAAATTCAACATGAAATCTAAGGAATTTAGTAAATATGTCAGTTAATTAATCATTTGAACCAACAAAATCAATTATGATTTCTCCTTAAATAATCTTATCTCTTTTGAGATAACAGTGTGCTCAATTATGATTTCTCCTTAAATAATCTTATCTCTTTTGAGATAACAGTGTGCTTTGTTCTTTCGTGAAAAACTAGATTGGAGGCGATATGAAGTGTGGCATGATACTCAATTATGATTTCTCCTTAAATAATTTTATCTCTTTTAAAATAACAGTGTACTTAGTTCTTTCGTGAAAAACTAGATTGGAAGCGATATGAAGTGTGGCATGATTGTCACATATTAGTTTCATTGTCTTGGCATAATTGTTTTAGCCACATGAATACACATGTTATTGGTGTCATAGTACGTGCACTAGACCTTGCAACCTTGCAACTATGTTGTTTCTTGCTCCACTATGAGATTAAGTTTCCTTCAATAAGCATACAATACCCGTGAATCTTCTATCTGATAGCACAAACTTAAAAAGTTTTTTAGTCTAGGAATACTAACAATCAATCTAGAATGTCTATACTCATAATTAATTATAACAAATACTATACACCTAGGAACAAGATGAGAAAACAGGTATCAAACGTTTTTCTACCTTGAGATAGATAATATTATAAATGCAGTGATCAAAATAATGCTTTCTTATTCAGATTCCTAACGTTTTCGGACAATTTGCATTACAAAGTCCATCAAAATGGCACTGTGTTATTAGTTCAGTCTGATCCGTCATTTAGCCAGTTGCACGAGGACATAACAGAACAGAGGCAATGAAACAGAAAATGAGCCATTAACCGCAGATTGAACTGAGGCAAAAAGATTGAGCAAGTTGATGAGAGACGCTATTAAGAAATATGGTTGCGTCTAAGTCATTCCTACAAAACTGTCTTGTAAAATGAAGATTGTCAAACTTATAAACACATGTTCAGACTATATACTGTCCGATGTAAAAACTCTTAATAGACGCTGCATTTTATCACCATCTATCCAAGTGTGAAACGCTCAACATACATGTAACCAAGAAAAATGTCGGCATAAAACAAAGAATTTAAAGATTAACTTTAAAGAATCATATTTTATTTCCAAAATAAAATAATGAGTTGAGTGGCTTTTACATTCTGCTGTACAAACTTTATACCTCAACTATCAATACAACTTTGGTATTGCAAAGCTCAATTGCTTCACCAAAAAATATTTTGAATTAAAAAATGATTAACAAGGAACCCCAAAAAGGCAAGCTCACCAACAGCCCTTGTTTCCCTACAAAATTAATACCAAGCAGCTATGAACAAAGAAATAATCCTATACATCAAACCACTACAAAGAAAATCATGTGGTTAAGTATACTTGACTCAGAACAACTGAACAGCCATTTTGACTTTGTTCTGTTTCCATTTTGGCATCTTGTAAAATTCGCTCCTGGCCATCCCCAGTTTCTCTTTGAACTCGTCGTTTGACAGGTAAGCCTGCATGCACCAACCTCATACAAGTCAGAATCAAAATAAAATCATGACGTAATTCTAAGATGTAACCTTCAAAGAATGGAGGAAAAACAACAAAAAAGACAAGGTTGTATGTTGACACTGTTATTATAATTATAGTATACCTCTCGTTTAGTCACGTCAATGTCTGGTATAGGATCGGTTGAGGCTGTGTTAACACTTTCATATGGGTATACTGGAAGACATTCATTATCTTCACCTTCACCTTCACCTTCGTTCACATCTTCCTGTATAGTAGGAGGTTCTTCTCTGCTGCTCGTAGAATTCTCGTTGTCACTATTTGTCTCTGGGTCCGATTTACGGGTACCTGTACTCCATTCAAATCATAGCAGGCCAGAGAAAAGAATAAGCATTTTATAAAGGAACAAATTCTAACAGCAGCATAAAATAAAATCTCAATGAACTCGTCTACTTCGTACCTTTAAGCGACCGAGGAAACAAACTTTCTCGTGCTGATGGTCGTTCAAAAGCAGAAGTAATGTGAGATATGGATGAAGATTTAATTGCTGGTGATGCTGAATCTTGTGTCTTAGATTTAGGGTACAGTTTTCTAATCATTGGAGGTGGAGTTGAAAGGTTTCTAACATTTGAGGTCTCGAAAGTAGCTGCCAAGGCACTGAAGGCCGGAGATCTTCCTCGCACACGAGCCCGGTCAGGACTAACAGACATACTGCGGGAGCGTTGTGATTTCTCTGGCAAGCCACCAGACCTTCCCCCATAAGATACAGATGCTCTTCTTTTGGGTTTCTGAAAATGTATCAACCAAAGAGATCAATGCAAATATACAATCAGGAGTGGAGGTCCAAACTTGTCCTTGAAAAAATACCTATTTGGTCTGTGATCAATTATAAGTTTAAACTTATTTATTTTTGGAAAAGGCAATTATAATTTATAAGTATCAATTTGATTCTAAGAAATCTCAAGTGTCATGCCAATTAGCATTTATTTTTTATGCTATTATTATAAATAGAGGAGAGTGCGGTCTGATTTGGACACATGGATTCAAACATAATACTCGTGATTTTAAAGGCAGCATAGAAAAGATGACTTACAACCAAAGGTGGAGTACCACCATTTTTCATGATTGCAAGCTTCCTTTGAAATGAATTCCCCAGCATCTACCGAAAAAAGAAACTCTCAATTTTCAAATTTTCAAGACTGTTTGAAGTCATATAACTATGCCATTGCCCTGTATTACTTACTGAAGATTTTGCAGAATCCCATTTAAAGAAGCGTGTGAAGAAAGACGGCTCACTGCCTTCCATGACGAAATATATTGGAGTATATCGAGATATTTTTTCTAAAAGAAAATCTCGCTCAAGGAATTTCTGTAGAAATCCAAAAGAATAGGTAAATAACTACATGCCATACTTCAGAAAACTTATATGGAATAAAAGACATTTACGAGCTTTAAAAAATATTCCTCCAAGTAAAAACTATGCCATACTTACACTTAAAATGCTTAATGGTGTTCTACCGATGAAAAATGTATAGTTAAATCCAGATTAACTCTTCAAAATATTAGTGACTAAATTATTATAAAATTTTTATAAGTTCCAACGAAAAGCAAAACCATTTATACCTCACCAATTGGTATAGCCTGCATTCTACTTTTGGGCTCAACCTGCTGGCCAACCCACACAAAGATTTCAGAGTGACAGTCCAAAATGAAAATATCTTCTGTCATCAAATCATCCTGGGAAAAGTTGTGTATCTCCATCACCTGTAAATAAACATTGCCTTCATACCATGGGATCAACACAACTTAAAATATTAAAAAATCATGCATCTAAACAGATCAGTGCATTTAAACATATCAGCAGGTGTGCACACCTTTAAATCTCCTGCATGTTGGTCAACCAGGCATGGAAAGAAACCATCACAAACAAGTCAGTCATTATTTGCCTTCAAGAAAAGAGACGGGTGCGGGTGGGTGAATAACACATAAAACTACCGAGCTAACAAGAAATTGGTCCTTACCTTGTGAGAAATTGCATGAAAATAGGTGAGGATCATTTTCAGCTTCCCTCACAATCTTTTGACTGGGATATTCTGTCTTTCCTCCTAATAGTTCCCAAAACTGTTCAGACTCTGCTCCCTCCTTTTGTGGTTTGCCTTGTACATCCGGCTGCAGACAATTGACAAGTATATGTGTTGATTAATAAACAGAGATGTTTTTAAAATAAGCTCTTATAAATATTTCCTTATCATACTAAACATGCAAACATATATAGTTGTTCGACGTGGACATATTGGTCAATTTTAAAAATAAAAAATTTTGGTGTCCGTTTGGATTATTTGAGTATTTCACATTTAAGTATCTTGGAACACAACAGACCTTTATTAAATCCAGCATTCTCTCAACGAGTTCGTGGTCATCTGAAGTAGTAAGATTTCCAGACCAAGTAAAAACAACGGATTCACTATGAAGTATGTAGAAATAAGAGGAATTCAAGGAGGAAGCAACCTGGTTCGCAAAAGAAAAATAGTGATTATATTTAGTATAAATTGCTTATACAAAAATGAGCGAATAGAATGACCTCTACAGACTAGATGACATACTGGGTCAACTTGTATTGCTTGCATATTGTCTGGTCCAGAGCCTTGGATGCGGAATAATGCAACACCGTCCTCCCTGTATGTCTCATCTGGAATTTCCTTCTCGGCGATGTAATTCTTGTATGCATCACCAAGTCCGCCCTGATAGACAAATGAAATAAGTGACCAGTATTAAGGAAAAAATAGTTTTTTCTTAGTTACACCAATACCAGAATCCCACAAACCTTAAAAACAATAAAACTTTGGAGAATGGAATTAAATTGAATTGTTTCACTGCCTTCATAAATACGAGCCTTCAATCAATTACACACGGATAACATCAGTAAGGACATAAGAAATTAGCAGAAATAACATCGATAACAAATTGAAAATAAAAATTTAAAAATAAATACCATGGATGGCAGAAACTTCATTGACTCGACCATTTTGCTTGCTAGCGTATGAGCTGAGGCTCTTTCTTCCTAATTTCAACAAAGAAAGCTTGTGAGCAAGATAGGTTAGTACTTAGTACCACTTTGTAACAAGACCAAATAGCATATGCATTTATTCAACACTTTCTGGTCCCAAAACAGTCACCAATGTTGTGTATGGTGGTGTAATTAAATTGATAATCTATAATTCACTAGCATTGTTTTCAGCTCCAGACATATTTTACAGTCAGATTTTGAGATTTTTACATAGAATAAATCAAAATAAAGTCTGACATTCAGGAAAAACTAGAATAAAATACTATAAATATTTCACCTCAACACTGTCCTTTCCAATCCATGTTCCTATAAGATATTCCTCCCTATCTTCCCCAGGATATGAATACTGAAAGATGAAGCAGTCTCCACTATAAAATTTTGACTGGTCAGCGGCTGCAAGAAGCTTTTTTTCTTGACCATTCACACGCCAAACCTAAGAAGTTATGGTATAACGCTTCTCAACAACACAAGCAAACGAAAAAAGTGTTGGAAATTAAAGCTATTTAAATCATAAATCAATTCATCCAAATAGGGATAAGTACAGAACAGGTCTTTTGAAATTTCTCAAGAAATATTTATTACAAAATGCTTATGAAACAATACAAAATATTGCCAACATATCAACTAAAACTATTCCTAAAATTCGGGATATAGGAAACCATGGCTTAATGAGTAGAAACAATATGGACAAACCCAAATGATTAAGAAGCAAAACTTCGATGTGTGTAGCAAAACCCAAAATAGTGAAAATGTAGGGACTAAGGGCCAATGTCTAGTAGAGACCAAACACAAATGGATAAACTACGGGGCCAAAATCTTATTTAAATAAAAAATCATTGTGATAAAAAATTGCCCAAGGACTAATAGTTAGTAGATAAATCAAGTGAAGCAAGAATCACAAGTTTGATATCTATACATTCATTCTGTATAGGAAGAATGGAGTTCCATGCTTCCTATTCTAAACATTTGATAGAATATAGCTCTTATGCATTTAAGCTTCTCATTTTGATGATCATCTTTAGAATGAGATATGGGTGGAGTTTTGAGGATATAGTGATTGGGATTCTAAAGATTCCCTCACTATGAAAAATAAAAAAACATAGGGGATTTAAGACCATTGAAAAATTAAATGTAATACCGATAAAAGTTGCATCATGAGATATCAGTTTTGATGAATTATTTGTTATAAAATATATTTGAGTACCTGTAAATGCCCTGTGCAATCGATGAAGGCTTGAGGTTCTTCTTTTACTGGATCAGCTTTCAAGAGGCCCTTGACATCCAATCCTTGACGTTTAAGAAGTGCTAGATGTCATAAACAAGAAACAATATTAGAATAAGATAACAACAGTCTGCCAAATGATGCTGAGCTGAAGAAACCTGGTCAGACTAGTTATATCAAAGTTTATTTAAAACTCACTCACCTGCTACCTTGCCACGACCATCTTCAGACATTGTTACATTAGATGTCTCAGTCCAAGACTCGAATTTCGACTTGAACATCACTGTTTCAAATCCTTCAATTACACGTGTTATCTGGGATTTTGGCCGGTCGGTGCTACGGACTAGTTCCTGTTTTTTGGCAAGCAGAAACCGATAGTCATTAAAACTCCTAACAAATGTTCAACAATACCGAGAAACAAAGAAGAAAAGTTACATCTGTAGCTCCACTTGCGCTTTTCCTATCATCAAGAGAGGTGCTTCTTCCCATCCAAACATACACCTCTAATCCACAATCTATAATATAGCATTTATTGGTGTCCAGCAATTCCTTTGTCAAAGAATCAGTTTCAATAGGCTCTGCCTTCCCCTTTTCAACACTGGACAAATTATAATTTTGTTATAAGTAGAGCATTTTAGAGTCTAATGTTTCAATATAATTTCATCAGTGTAGAGGTAGCAACAATTAGCACTATCTTCAAGTCCTTTGAATTATCAATATATGCATCTTCAGGCTAAAATAGTAAATTTACAACATTTTTCCATTAATAGGGAACAAAAACAATAGTGAAAGAGGAGATTACGAACATGCTCAAACATTAATGAGTTGGATCTAAATATCACTGCTAAAAAGTAAAGGAATATAGTAAGGTAATAAAAATACCAATTGAAAAACTGAAAGAACATATTACCAAAGCAACTTTGGATCATGAGAATCAATTGTCTTATCATCATCACTGAATGTTTTACGTGGAAGAGGAGCAAATCCACCAAACAAACCCCAGAACTCTCCAGATTCAGAGTCAGCCATCAACCTTCCATCCTCTTCATGGAAATTCAAGTGTAAACATCCAATTAGTCATACTAAGCAATGGCTTTTAAAACATATGAATATACTAGTAAACTTACCAATAGAAGCCACTTCACATTTCCCATCATGGTAGGTATCCTTGATAAATTGAACAACTTCCAATGCTTTAGCCCTTTCTTGAATACATGAATTGGCACCATTAAATTGGAAGATTTTTGACTCGGTATCCAGAATAAAAATATCATCATGGTTGAGCGAAGATCGAGCAAAAGGAACCTATAACCAACACAAATATTTAATCAAAACGTAGAAACTAATGTTTACATATGTGTGATATTTGTATAATTGTGTATCCTAGTTATGATCGAGTCTCAAAACTCAACGAATCAATAACAGGAGAATAATATCAAACTTGCCTCTTTGACATTCACAACATGTTTCCCTTTACATACAAACAACCGCGTCTGATGTTCTTCAGCTTCAACATGCTTAAAACCAGAGGCAGCTCCACCTTCTTGTGGTATAATGCATGGTTTGAAATATGACAGGAACTTCTGTGTTTCATGACCCTGCACTTCACGATACTGAACAGCACGTCCTCCTAGAACTGCATCCAACTCAACTGTCTTGATGGCTGCAGCACCAGCTTCATCCTATTTTATCGTTGTGATAACCATGGAGTAAATGGGAAAATTATATCAAATATTGAACCAAAAAAAGGTGAAGGGGATGTCAATTTACGAACAGCAAAACTTACTTGACTAGTGTCTTTACCAAGCCAATAATGAATATCATGGCGTAGAGCACCACTTTTTGATGTCGTTGTCTATATGAAGATAATAGGTAAAAAGAAAACATTAATGCTAATTATATACATTGTTGCACAAACTATTATGAAGGAAGTGAAAGAAACTAAGAAAAAACTACTGGATTAACATTATCTACAAAACCAAAGAACAACAAATAATGTGAATTTAGCCCTAAATAAGTGATACAAAGGTTGAGATTTGAACCAAAGATCTAATCAATTATATTTCTCAACAAGAGAAAAATAAAGCTTGTCAAAAGAAGCAAGCAATGTCTTCATGTATATTTAGTACAAGAAGGTATATTTTGTACATGCAGAAAACCATTCTTGCTACCATCATTTTGTTCCAGAAGTAAAAAGCCTGAGGAAACAAAAGTTCCTGTTAAAGCTAAAACCGGGTGAATTAGATTCCTGTATGAAATATTTTATAATACAATTTCCCTTTCATTGTATTTCTTAATACATGACGACAATCAAAGGACTTGGCATGGCAGTGTAAACATCTAAGCTTCAGGTTTTCCCTTTCGAAAGTGTTTAGTCCCATAGATGAAATTGGAATAATGCTCACTATTTCAGGAAGACAAGAAAATATACACACAAAAGTGCTAGCATTTTAATTTGTTGAATGGATTCCTTCAACCAGGATAGGACATTTTTACAAAATAGGAAACAGAATGAGTTAGCAATAGTATAGACCTTTAGATGGATCAACAATCCCTAACATTTTGTCTTATCCAACAAGGCAACAGCAGCCCTTGAGAAATTGACTGAACTTATGCAAAAATATCTCAGTCTTTTCCTAGCAATGTAGCTTTACTCTTATACCGAAAATCAACAAAGCATTACGGGGTGAAATATAAGTTCATGAATGTAACCATTTTGCGTTACTCCCTTCTTATTAGGGAGGGTTGTTTCTGCAAGAGAACTGGACACCCAGCTGCCAAAACTCAAAACAAAAATCAAAGTTGCTTGATAAGATAGTACACATCTAATCCTCCCTAGATTCCGTACTAGTAAGAGCCTCAAGCACTGGTCTTTGGTTTCGCATATGCAGGCCTTAAAATCATAGAATTTCCATGTTGAATGTTTTAGCAAGAAAAAATTAACAAAACTAAAATCAATCATATATTATTTTCCATATATATATATATATATATATATATATGAATGAAAAATCATTAAGATTTAAGAACATGTTATATATATATATATATATATATATATATATATATATATATATATATATATATATATATATATATATATATATATATATATATATATATATATATATATGAATGAAAAATCATTAAGATTTAAGAACATGTGACTTACCTTCAAGACGATATACGAGTCTCCATTAAAAAACTTCCCATAAGAAGACTGTGGGATAGGAACTGGATTAAAATTCTCAATCCGCCATATTTCAAGTCCACTATATACGGTTAAGGAGAACAAACAATCCAAAAGCATCGAAAAATGAACAAGCATAAAATCAAAACGAAAAATCGCAACTAAATGAAGCATTAACCTAAAATGAATTAATGCAAGAATGAAATATATATATATATATATATATATATATATATATATATATATATATATATATATATATATATATATATATATATATATAATACATTGGGCAGGATACTCTTTTTGTCCAGCTCCTTTGAGAGCTGGATCCAAATCTCTCATAGAAACACCCATATTGTTCTAGTAGTATTCGATCTTTCACAATCTAGCAAAAAATTGCCATGAAAAAAAGCCATGAATCATCGTATAAACAATCCAGAAAAGTAAGCAAATCAAATGATAGATGATACATTGTTAATTGATCGTTCAGAAAATGGATTGATTGGTACCTTTTCAGGAATTGGTGAATTTCATCGTTGGAATTTAGACAGTGTTGCATTGATGGAAATAATTGTTATTTTTTGGGATTGATTTTGAAAAAGGTGGAAATTTGAGAGGAGGAGAGAAGAGGGAAGGAAATGAATGAGCGGAGAAAGAGATGTGGTGATGGTGATGGTGAGTGTTCCGCATTGTGAGGAAAGGAATGGATGCGAGAAAGAGAAAAACAGGGGAGGTTCATTTACCGCCCAAATTCATGCAATTCCAATTTCCATCATTTCTAAATAATATGAGACTTGAACTCTTTGGCTTCTTACTCAACTTTACAATATATTTAATATTTTTATATATATATTGATAATTAATTCTTTTAAGAAATTAAAATAATATATACCTTTTTAAATTATTTTAAAATAGTACCAATATAGCACATGTGTTAGAGAATCCATGGAACTACAATTTGATGGTCTTTCCTCATTTCCTCTTTTAACCATCCTAATTAGATGTCATTCTTAGATCATGTTCATCGTAGGTACGTTGGTGCTTCGATCTTCTTTATGGATTATTTTTTAGGGGTTTAATGTCAATGGTCACGATCTGACATCAATAATCCTTGATCATCTAATTTGACAGTCTTTAGAGATTTTACTAGTAATTTTGTTTTTGAATGTCTCAAAGGCGGGATCATTCTATGATCATCTGACCCTCTAAATGATTAGGGGACTTTGAGAGGTCCATTATATGAGTCTAACTCTCTATATATATCTTAGTGGACATTTTATTGTATTAGAAAAAGTCGATTGGGTCTTCACCCAGGCCAAAACAGTAACCCATAAGTCATGGTCTGCAAAGTCGTATCATGGATTGTTCTAATTTCCTCTAATTGCTAACATATCTTGGGGTCGCATTCGGACGTATATTCTTGCTTTATGAGAGTCTTTCTTAAAATGTGGGTGTGTTTTCACTTTCTTGATCTTATTTTGTGAATAGTTATAGAATTTGTGTATTTTGCTAAAGCGGTATTTTAAGCTGGAAACTTCTAATAGGTAATGCCTAGTTCCTTTTCAAAGATAGAGGAGTCATCGTCCCTTATTTTTTGTGTATTTTATCTATTAGTGAAGTGTATTTGTCTTTTTGTTCTTAGTTCTTAGTTTATGTCATACCCCAAATTTGTCATACCCTACTTATTTTCTTATGATCTTCCTTTAGATGATCATTTGGCCTTTGGCCATGATCCTCTAGAATTTAGGTCATAGTTATATTGTGTGTGTCTGTGGTGATTGCAAGCTCTTTTCAGGGTGATTTGATTTTAAGAAGACATAAATGAGGAATGTGCTTTCATTCTCATGATCAAGCATTGCGACATGATAAAGTACCAAAGTTATATGAATGGATCCACTTCAAGGCATGATCATTTGTTTTCAAGCGGTTTTTGAATCCTATTTCAACATGGTTCTAAGTCTTACTTCAATGTATTTTTAGCCATATCCCAAGATTGACACTGAGGTCATGTGGTTAATCATGCTAACTTTGGTGAGATTTGTTACAAGTTTGTTCAAGGAATGACTATTCAAGCTTCAAGGAAAGGATAATTCATCCTTAAGTCATGTTTGTTTTTTATCTAAGTTTGAATTGGTTGCAAGATTAATGGATGATTTTGAGTTAAGGGAATTATGGCATAATCAATTTGTGGTCAAGAAGGGGTGGAGTGATGATTAATGCATAAGTTGAGTGTGTTACAAGTGATGGTGGGAAACCACAATTAAACTCTCAAGTTGTTCCAAAATCATGTTTGATTGATTAAGTTGCTTCAAACTTGAACCATGCTTTCACAATTCAAGGCTATGTTTGGGAACAAGTTTTGTTTTTGAATTTCTGGTATGCAGATCTCAGATGTCCTAAGAGATGTAGAGACACTTGATCTCTGCTAAAACACAATGACAAGAAGAAGCACAATAACAATTGCAGAAAGTAAACAAGCACACAGTAATTGTTAATCTAGTTCGGTGTACAACAACACCTATGTCTGGGGGCTACCAAGTCAGGAATGAAATCCACTAGATAGTATTAATTCTAAGTTAAACAACCTCTGGTTTACAACTTATCACTTAATCATTACCCATGCTTAATTTCTATCTAAGACTCTTCTAGGTATGAGACCCTTTTCAAACTCTAGTATCAACATGATACAAGAGAGACTCACAAATACGAAAACCCTAAAACTAACTAAGCAATAGTGTATTTTCCACATTCTGGTTAGGTTAAATCCTTCCTATTTATAACCATAAACTATACTAGATTTGGGCTTCAATAACGCAGTAATTCTGTTACACAAAATCTGCAACTTATTCTCCTCAAGAATAGTTTCTTCAATCCAAAGTTTCCTAAAATATCTTCACACTTAGAAAACGACATCTTCAATTTCAAACAGAAACTCTAATTCCTCAATCTTAAACGCCACCTTGATAACCAAATATTCCCATAATATTATGAAATATGGGAAATAAAATAGCAGTATGAAAATTGTAATGCAACAGACAAAGATGTCGAATTATCATGATAGGATATCTTCTCCAACATCTTGTTCTTCATGTTAGGACATCTTGTCCAACATCTTGCTGTCAGGTTAGTTTTACCAATATTAATGTCAATCTTAAAAGCTTGGACTTATCAATCTCCCCCTTTGGCAAATTTTGGCTAAAACTAACTAAATAACCCTTGAATACAAACACACAAAAAGTCAGAGGCAAAAATCAGAACAGCAACGGAAAAATATAGCCTACCCCTCAATCAGTTCCTTCTTCTACAACAAATGGTTAACACTCTCCCCCTCAACAGCAACCAGAGGTTAGCAATGGTTAGTTAAGTTAGTATTACTCCCCCCTTTTTAGCCACAATATGACAAAGGTAGTTAACTAACTAAACAACCAAACATTAACACAAGTAGAACAAGAGTATAAAGTATAGATAAAGCACATGAAGTGCCAAAAATATCCTGGGCATTCAACCCTTACAAAACATAACCAAAAAAGATGAATAAAACTACAATCAGATGTCATCTTCAATAGCCTCGTCATCTTCTTCCTATTCTTCTTTAAGGTCCTCACCATCTGACTCAACATCTTCATCAGCAACAACATTAGATGTGACAATGTCTTGGATATAATCACCAGCAAACAATTTGTGATGCAAAGTCAAAGGAGACTCCTTCTTCATGACTTTATCATCATTCAACAAAATATCAGGATATTGTTGAAGAATTATACTACACGTGAGAGTTGGCTTTGTAAACCTTTCTTTATTTGGTGGGAACATACATACACTCACTCGAATAATATTCCCACACCAAATTAACTGCTATAAATCTTTAGACAGACAAATCCCAAGTTTTCCCCTCAAAACCTCAAATTGATTAGCATCCAAAGCTTTAGTAAATATGTCAGGTAGCTGATTCTCTATGGCAACATGCTCCAATGTTATAACTTTTTCTTCCATGAGATTTCTAATGAAATGATGTCTGATGTCAATATGTTTGGTTCTACTGTGCTGAATAGGATTCTTTAAAATATTAATGGCACTCAAGTTGTCATAGAATAATGTCATGACATCTTGTGTGACATTATACTTAGTCAGCATTTGCTTTATCCGCAACATTTGAGAAAAAAGACTACCTGCTGCTATGTACTCAGCCTCTGCAGTAGATAGAGAAACACAATTCTACTTCTTACTGAACCATGAAATCAAGTTGTTTTCCAAAAAGAAACATCCTCCAGAGGTGTGTCGCATCGCTGCAAAAAGGGAGCCGGCAAGGACAAAAGAGTCGCCACCGTTCGTTATTTATCCCAAATAGATGAAAAGGAAACGATCAGAGAAAACTTACGAAAAAGGGAAAAGACAGGTCATCGCAACCAAATCTTGGGTTCGGGAGTCGGTTACGCAAGGGGAAGGTATGAGCACCCCTCACGTCCATCGTACTCGACGGGATCCACGCTTGTTGTCTATCTAAAAGGGTGTTAATCTATAAGGCTGGCCACGGGGACAAAAGAAAAGAAAAGAGACTCGATAGAGCATCGCCGCTCTATGCTTACGCATTCCCTCGTGCAATGGGAAATCCAGAGTCAACGTAGTTCGGAAAACTACGGGTGAAGGTGAGGAAGGTTGCTCGCCAAGACATCGTCGTCTTGTCCCTACGTATCCTCGTCTGGTACGAGAAATCAGAGCAAATGTAGTTCGGGCTAACACGACCACAGATTGGTTCAAGTGTTTTAACTGAGTAGGGTTAAACCTTCGTTCTAGCAGTTAGGTGTATTGTTGCTCGACCATTTGAGACTTAGGCGTTACCTGTTTATGGTAGAACCAAGAGTTAACACACTCTTTCTAAAAATGATTTTCCATTAATCCCGAAGGATAAAAAGTTTGATGTTTTGTTTGTGTTTTTTAAGAGAAGAAGTGAATTGAGTTGCGTTTGTAATTCATGTTGCACTAAAGACTATGACTTGAGAGCAAATGCGTCGCATATCGCCCAAAGGACATACCCTAAACACTCTAGAAAATTGAGAGGAGTCTTGAGATTAAAAGAGAGGATACAAGACTAAGGGGAAACTAACTCAACCCTAATGTTATCATACAATGTGCTCCTATGATTGGATTAAAAGGGGAAAATCTACCCTAATGTTAGCATGCTTGGATTGAACACCTAATATCTCTCCTACTCCCGTGGGACTAGGAATCCTAAGGGATCATGGAAAAGGAGCCAAGTAAACACAAGATAAATAAATCACAAATGAGAAAGAAAGAGATGCAAACATGAAATGCAACACAAAGAAAAGAGGGAGAGAAAAAAGTGTGGGGCAGCA